AGGAAGGATGGCTCCAGAGCAAACTATGCAGGAGCCAAATCGCTCGCTCACAACTTTAATGCCAGTAGCTCACAAAGCAGAATTTTTGCTCACAAGACTCCTGAGCTTAGAGGGAGCATTGGTTGTGTGTGGGGGTTCAGGAAGGATGGCTCCAGAGCAAACTATGCAGGAGCCAAATCGCTCGCTCACAACTTTAATGCCAGTAGCTCACAAAGCAGAATTTTTGCTCACAAGACTCCTGAGCTTAGAGGGAGCATTGGTTGTGTGTGGGGGGGAATGGAGGCAAAGAGGATGATGTAAACCACTTTGTGTCCCCATTGGGAAGAAAGGTAGGGTATACATGAAATAATTTCGTTAGAACTATGTATAAGTAAATTTTAAGATCGTGATTTTCATTTTTTTTTAACAGTACAGCAGCAAAAAATAAGCTCTCATCAGAAGAACTTTATACAAGACTAGGAAGTGCTGTGGGTCCTTTGCCGAAACAAGCCTTACAGGTTATTCGGCATGTGTGGAACGAACAGGGGAACGCCATCGCTGGGTCTGAAGATGCTAGTAACATAGGAATGGTTGGCCAGGTAAGCACTTCAGGACAGGTTTGCAGAGGCATAGCAGACTTCAACAGAGCACAGCGGTAAAAATGTGCAGTAGTTTTTCTTTGGGAGGGGTGCCAAAAGTAGTTTCCAGTTTTCACCTGGCACAGGACACTGTTTTACCAGTTTTCTTCCCGTCATCAGCGTCAGAGGCTGAAAAGACACGAAATTTGCTAGATGTCGAAAGATCGTTATTGTTATACTTAAATAGAACAGAACCTTTTTGCAAAATCTCCCATTTTGTGTGTGTGTCATTTGGGTTTTTCTGAAGGGGAGACCAGCCTCATCACAAACCATCTCCAGAGGGATAGTCCCTGCAATCTGCTTTTCTTATGAACAGGCCAAGTTACCACGCCCACTGGAGGTCTGGGCACATTCTACATGAGCTCAGACAACACTGGCTGCATTTCGACAGGGCACTCCTATGGCAGACATCTGCAGAGGGCTTATATGATTGTGGTTGGAATTCTGATTCTCTGCGACTCTTCTGGTTTTGGCTCTTGTACCCCAATGATTTCCTTGAAGTTCAGGTTTCATTTTAGACAGGCTTCATTTTAGACCAGTTTATTTAAGTTACACTCTAAAACATTTTTAATCTAATCTAAAAAGAAAGCTGTTTTTTAAAAAATCCAACCTGGTCAGTTACCAGTGATAAAGAATCGTGGAGCAGTTTCTGTCAGAGCTCTCTCAGCCCCACCTCCCTCCCAGGGTGTCCGTTGTGGGGAGGGGAATGGAAAGGAGATTGATTGCAAGCCGCTCTGAGACTCCTTCGGGTAGTGAAGGGCGGGGTATAAATCCAATCTCCTCCTCCTCCTCTTCTTCTTATAATAATAATAGGCCTCTCCAAGATCCACTGACTAACACACAGTATATAGAATTTCCAGTTGTGTTCCCAGAATACAGTTCCTCTGAAGCTTATTGGGGGTTCATCAATAACAAGATGAGAGAGAGCAGTCCAACTTCCCCAGGAGGCTGTTTGATCTCTACTCTTGCTCTCCCTCCATAGCCCCGTGCTGCAGTATTAACTTGTGCTCTAAAGTTGCCGTTCATTTCCCTCAGCGATGATGAGGCTTGGCTAGCCTGGTAAGAGCCTTGTCAAAACATGCCCTAGAGTGCTCACCAACACACAGGGGCACAGTGGAAAACATTTCCTCAAGGTAGAAAGTCCAAATAGCACTAGCTTAGAGTATTTAAAAAAAAACACTTAGTTGTTGAATTCCAGCCATGGATTACTACAGTGGGCCCCAGTGTAGTGCCTTTGGGTGGTATGGTGCCTGCCAGTGCCTTTCCTGGAGCCTACAAGGTGTTTTTTAGAAAGTGGGCCGGGCCAGTGGGTCTTTTGCCCAGCAAGGTTTCTGATAGGCCACTGGAGATTTGATTGGCTGTGCAGATTTTTAAAACCATTGCCCCGGCAACAGCCGCCACCACAGCACAAGAATCGTCCGTGTGACTGAAAGTAAACTGCGGCAGCCATTTTGTGCCTGGCTTTGTCTCCGCCGCCGGCCATTTTGTGACCGTGCCCACCATGCTGTGTCAGAATTCCAAAGGTGCCTGCAGGCTCAAAAAAACTGGAGGGCCCCTGGATTATTGTGATCTCCTGGATGACAGTGCGGATTCTCCCCATCCCACAGAACTCCGGGTGGTCTGTTTTTGTTTGCAGCTTATTGACTTCCAGTGGAAGCTGGGGATGGCAGTCGGCTCCGACAGCTGCCGGTCTTTGAAATGCCCTTACGTTACGATGGCAGTCAAAGCGGCCGATGCTTCAGGGCACGTCACGAGCAAATCTTTTGAAATGACCGTCCCACAATTTCAGGTATGTCGTCTGCTGTAGCCTCTCTTAAAGGCTGACATGTGTCCCTGCAGATCAACTCTGGTACGTGATACAGAGGAAGCATCATTGATTTCTAGGTATTCCCTGACAAAACGACATATAGCTTTAAGAGTTCCATGATTCGTATTCCCACAGTGTCACTGGGCACTAAAAAGCCGCTTTTCGTGGGGGTGCTGATGTGGATTGGGGCTGTAGGGTCAGGAAACGGGGAGTTTGCTTTTCTTTAAGCCCCAATAGCACAAAAAGGGCAAGTACAATTTCGCCCTGACCTGGATAGCCCAGGCAAGCCCCATCTCGGAAGCTAAGCAGGGCCGACTCTGGCAAGTACTTGGAAGGGCGACCTCCAAAGAATGCCAGAGGCGAGATGCAAAGGCGGGCAAATCTTGGCAGGCTCATCCAAGTACTAACTGTGGCTGACCCGGCTTAGCTTCCAAGCCCCGATGAGATCAGCCTAGGCTGGGCTGTTAGGGCTGCTCACGTGGATTATGCAAGTGAACAGCATTAGGAAATGGGAATGGTCAGGGGCTCCTTCTCCACAGATGCACATGGGAGCGTGAGTCTTTACCACCACTTGGTACAGGCCCAGCCTCATGGTGAGCACAGAAGCGTGTATGTTCTTTTCTGCTTCCTTCCACCCCTCTTGTGCACGGTTTTCACTCTTGCTTTTTTGGCATTAGCTATGCTAA